AGGTCGCTGCTAAGCACCATTGTAAGCAGGGAATAGAAAATGATGATATGGAGCCCCCCCATGAAGAACCTTGATGAAGATTTTGACGTACGCATGTTAACTTAATTATGAAACAATCATTGTCGTTTCAGAAATAACATGTGATCTTCCACGTATAGGATGAAGCATTCGAAAGAGTTGAAATAAAAATCAAATAAGATCTCAGTGGTATTTATAAGCTTTTGAAAGAGGTGGATGATATCCAGGGTGCTCCTAGTTTGGATAAGCAAATGCATTTCAAAGCCACCACAAGCCTTTAAGATTTCCAGGTGATGCACATTTACCTATAATTGATCAAGAATCTGCTAAAGGCTAACACGCGGTTTATTTCATATGACAGAATCCGTTCAATAGACAGAGTAAGCAGCACTCTGTGAAGGCTACGGGATCGTGAGAGCCTGAAGAGCCCCGTGCCTTCACAGATGATGACAACCATGATGAATCCTTTCGAAAGTAGCAAGAAGTAAGTGTGGTTGAATTGACGCCACCAAATCATGGGGGCAAAAAGAAAAGTGTGGTATTGCAATTATTTAAGAATGCCGAGTATGCTTCGTATGATACTGAGAAGAAAAAAAGGAAAAACAAGACTCCATCAGAGTATACAAATGATTCCGAGGACACGAACAATAAAAAGAGGAAAATCAGCTCTAGCAACTTAAAAAAGAAGTCAGAAGTTCCTGAAACCCAGAGGGACCAGCTAGATGTGGTTTGACAGGATTTCGTGGCGTCGCTGATCAACACTACAAACCATGAAAAACAAATGGTCTTAGTTGATGACATTGTCATGCTATCGAAGCATTTGCAATGCCTCACCCAAAAAGATGGATCTGAAGATGGCGTATGGTTGGGTGACGAAGTAAGATATTTCACAAATTAGTTTATGAAGTTTCATTTTTGTACAATACAATTAACTTGATTATTGTTATAGGTGGTTGATGCTGCGATCCAGATCATGCGTCATGATGAACCAATTGACACAAGGGACGAACAACTGGTTTACATTGAGAGGGTGGCTGGCGTCGCTAAACTCGAAAGAGATGGTAGAATAGAGGAGTGCTACGAGGACGCTTTGGCAGGCATTCCTAGAACAACACAAGGTACCAGCTACCTGAAACATGATATGGTATTTTAACCTGATGTAGAACAGATTTTTTTATTACTATACACGTTGATCTAATTATCTGTGCACTCCAGGTTTTCCTACCAACGAACAACCAAAACGTCCACTGGTTACTTGTGGTCGTAAACCCCGGAAGGAAAGAGATTCAGGTTCTTGATTCACTTTTCCATTGTATGGTACCCAAAGAAGTAAATAAGGTGGTGAGAATTTCAACATATTTAATTATAACAAAGGATTTAGCATCGTATGTAAGTATTAGTCGTAGGCAACTTCTCATCCCATTGGGCTTGCAGGTACGTGGGATGGAAGCACATCTGAGAGCAGCGAGGCGAGTCAATGAGATAGAAAGCAATGCATGGGAAGACATTAATGTGACGCAATGACAAGTACGAAACATTAATGTGCCAAAAGTCGATGAGACGTCAGTCAACAATATTAGCTTTTGTTTTTGTTTTAGATTGTTAATATCTGAAAAGCCGATCTAACAACATAAAATGTTGCAGTTCTTATTGTGCACTATACATGCTGAAGAACATCGAATTATTTATGGGAGTAAAACTGAGGATGCAATATGATGAAGTACGTAGAGTAACACCTAAAATTATGTCATTTTCTAAAACTTAGGGAACGATACTAACATATCCTTGCATGCAGGCCTACATCGAGAAATTTAGAAGAGAGCTACCTGTTGTGCTTGTTGATTCACCCTACAACAAAATAAAATGCTGGAATAGGTTCAAGCAGTACCATGCTAGGCTATCGGATGCAGCTGCGGTTGAAGACGACGAAGATGCAAGCAGATAGTCCAACAGTGTGGTTCATTCTTACATGTGGAGTGTACACTTGGCCATAAAGCGATAGAGTAGGGTGTGGTTGGGTTTTAGTCCCGAAGAAGGTTTCCTAGCCGTGTTCTTGGTCCATTGCGCATGAGTCAAATTGTAAAACTTCAATAATATTGGTTATAATATTTTGCTTCAAATAAATTTGGTCTCTAGGGGATCTCGTAGAAATCTATATTTGCTTTTTACTACCATGTGATAGTAACAGTGCCTGGGCAAGGTTCGGACCAATTACAGTGCACTAGCAACCCTAGAAGAATAATGGATTGTGAGTCAACACGCAATCCCAGCTATCCCAGAAAACGACACAGTCAATGTCTCGTAGGCAGGCCGCAAAGCCAATAACAGAGACCATAAGATAACAAGAGTAAAACACGTACCATAGGGGGCCTCTACAGGTGCTACAACGCTGAATTGAAGGGATCACCTTCAGGAGCACAGTGGTGTGGACATGGTACATCCATCCTGCCTCAGGGAATCACATAGCATGTTCTGTCATATCCCTGCAAAACAGAGGAAAAATTACTATTTGTGATAACCTTGTCAAGTGTGTGCATGTAACAAATGTTAGACATAACTAAACACGGAAGAATGAAATGCAACATATGAAAGAATCGAATGCTCATTCCTTTCTCTCTGCTTTTTGCGAGGATCGTTACTCTCCCTTTAACAAGGCTAAAACATCATAATAAGAATTAACGCCAATCTTCAAAAGGTGGATATCCCATGTGAATCTAATTTTTCTTATAAAGCACATGTCAAGTCTATTTATACCAGTCCAACAATTGCACAAGAAGAAGCGAGCATCATAAATATTGAGCAACATAAGCTATGAATTATTTATAGTACATTCCAAAATTAATAGCTTATCATCTCTATTGATATCCAAATCTCACCTATCAGCCAAATTGAAAGAATACATATTGAATGAAATGTATAAGTGTATGAATGCAACGATTGAACGTTTGTAGATCTTGCAGTCGGGGCTGGACGAATGGGGCTGGCCGTCGAGGCCGGTGGCCGGCTTCATCTAGTCCCGTAGAACATGATCCATACCCAACCACCTTGCCATCGGACGAGATGCATGGCCAGATCAAAGCTGCAGCCGTGGCGGAGAGGTGATGTAGAGGACGCAAACAACCAATTGGGGTGTGGGAAAGAGGTTGCCTATAACCTTGTGGCTATAGGTACCCGCATGGAGGACTGGGACGTGGGATGGCGTCGAATCTTCGCCGGCGGCCGCCGCGGGGAGGGCAGTGCGCCTCCTCTCGTGTTCTTCGTTGAAAAGGTGGTGCGAGATCGCGAGGGAATTGGGGTGGAGGGAAGGAGGGGCCGCGACGAGCGGCTAGATCCTGCCGACGAAGAGGATTAAAACCCTAGCGGCGACGAGGAATAAACCCTAGCGAACGGGATAAAAATTGAACCGAAAAAAGCCCTGAAATTCGTACCGAGAATACCCTCGAAATATTTGGGAGAGAAAATCTGATCAGTTCGAAATATTTTTCTCCTGAAAATGCCCCTCGGGGTCTGATATAATACACATGACATCAGTGTATTGCATCGGATCTGGACCATCGAATTCGCTCCGATGGACAGTCCATATCGTCCGGATGCACTTTAAATGACTTATAAAGTAACGGAGTGAGTATATGTTTAACAGAACAACAAATATTCATTTTTTTGCAGGTTATATTCCGAGCCATTGCGCTGATCCGTAGGTGGTCGTTACTCACTCCGACGGAGGCCAAGGAGCGTTTGGTTACTGGATCTATCCGGTGGGAGATGGTAGCACGGGATATCTTCAAACGGTTTGGATGGCGGTCATGTAATAGGATAGGCGATTAGTTTCCTATCTTTCTTATGATAGCCGGTTGTGGCCTCTTGACTTTTTGTTCATGGCGTTGTGGCTCTCTGTGAGCTTGCCGTTACTTTGTTTTCAGACTATAAGACCTTGTTGAACCTCTTTATTTATCTATAAAAATGGTTGTATGCATCGTTCTGATGCAGAGGCCGGGGAGTACGTCCCCCTTTTCGGGAAAAAAACCCTAGTTTCTGACGAGAAACCTGAGCCTTGGCTGAGCTCTTACAGCTTCAAACGTCAACAAAGCTACAGCAGAAGAAGCTGCATGGGCTAATAGAGGTACTTGCCAAAAAAAGGAAGATGTCAATAATAAAACGCAATGGCATATACATTCGAAAGAGCAAATGAAATTATGTTCAATCGAGCAAACATAAGGCTTCCCTGGCCCATAAACTTCCAATTCGAAATATATATACATGTTCTTTATGTGTTTCTGATACATCCTTTTATTCCAGTACAAAATCATGAGGAATATACATAAGCAAGCAGCAACATCATCAAACAACAACACCTTTGATAGTTACAAATACACAAATTTTAAAATTCTCAAGTCCACACCGTGCTCAGTTTGCTCGCATCACTACTTGTCGGTTGGAGCAGCTTTATTAGATCAGGAGGAAAGCACACAAAATCAAGCTAGGGAAAGCATAATCATATATGATCCCTCTCGACTGATTTAGTTGTAGGTGTCCGGGTTGGCGATAAGGTAGGCCTCGGCAGCCTTAAAGATGGTTGTGACAGAGTCCTTGGCCTTGGTGATCTCATCCTTCACCTCCACGCCTAGCAGCAGCTTGTATGTTGATTTCACCTTCACCACGCTCCCGCCGTTGGCCGCCGGCTCCACCTTAATGTGCGACGTTGCCATCTCGATAAGCAAACAGCAGCACCCTTTTATTCACATACTTCCTTTTATTCCCATACGAAATCATGAGGAATATACATAAGCAAACAGCAAAATCATCAAACAACAGCACCCTTTGATAGTTACAAATACACAACTTTTAAACTTCTCAGGTCCACACTCAGCTCAGTGCTCTCCCGTCACTACTTGGAGATTGGAGCAGCTTTATTAGTTCAGGAAGAAAGCACACAAAAACAAAACCAGGGAGAACAAAATCATATATGATCTCTCTCAACTGATTTAGTTGTAGGCTTCTGGGTTGGCGATAAGGTAGGCCTCGGCGGCCTTGAAGATGGCCGTGACAGAATCCTTGGCCTTGGTAATCTCATCATTCACCTCTACGCCCGGTAGCAGCTTGTATGTCGATTCCACCTTCACCACGCTCCCGCCATTGGCTGCCGACTCCACCTTGATGTGCGACGTGGCCGTCTCGATCGCCGTGCCGATGCCACCACCCTCGATGAGGGTCGACTTGCACTCGCACTTGTCTATGTCAATGAACTCGAGCCTCTCCTTCATGAGGTTGAAGGGCATGGCTGCAAGGTCAACTCTGTGTTATGCTTTCACCATGTGTACTAGACTGCAGGTGATATGAGTTGTATATGATGCATACCTGAGGTGAAGTTGAACTGCCTGACCCGATGCCGCCTTCTCCTTCAACAGGGTGGGCGCTGGCGACGATCTGTGGCGCGAGCTTGGGGGCCAGGGTGTGCCAGTCCATGACGCCGGCGCGAAAGAGGCGCGATTCAGTGACCGGCGACTCAATCTCATGGGTCCAGCTATTGGTGGAGGCCATTGCTGTGACGATCAAGCTAGTACAAGTACAATGGTGCAAATGATGTGAGCCGTGACTGTTGTAATTGTGTAAAATAGGAGCTAGAAAGCGGGGCTGGTGAAGCTTGGCCCGGATGAGTTTGGTGAGTGGAAACTGGTGAAGGCGCCAAAGGGTTTTTCTAAATTGGATGGCACCGTAGGGTGTGAAAGCTAACCTTTTATCATTGCTGGGTCTGAAAGCTCGCGCTTTTATCAATCTTTAGTTAGGAGAAGAATGTGTTCTCTATCAAATTGGCACCACACGTCCGTGTGGAGAAATTGTTCTAGTGCTAATCAGGGAGTAGGTGATTATTAGCCAGCTGCGTTACCCATTAACAAATGCATGTGAGCGTGTATATGTTTCATTACACGTAAATCAGCTAGTTGAGTTCCCTAAAAAAATCAGCTAGTTGAGATGCTGGGTTGCATTCGTTTGTAATCATACTTTGCTCACCGCATGTGCTGGCAAAACACACGTTATTTTTTTTTAATGCAAAGCCATTGTCTATCACGCTTTATCATCTTTGACCATGTACAATGCAAGCTGATTAGAGAGATGCCGGTGAAAATGAATTTTTAAGCATTGATATTTTTTATTTGTATGCAATTAGGCACGTCTACTATAAAAACAAGAAATGATGCTAAACAAAACTTGGTTTATTTTGTAAGCAACTAACCAAGGACCTTGCACTGTATCTAGTCAGAGTTTTATTCAAGAGATGGTCAAGGCATCTCCAACGCGGACCTTCATTTCGGCCCCAAATGTCTGGATCGACTTGACTGTTTTGGCACTTTTAGGACATGGACCCCTAATTTGGGCTAGAATCCTCAAGACCGATAAGTTCACATGTCCTCTGTGTCGGACTCCGGCAGCCTGGACCCACCCAAACCCATTGGAACCACCCCGGGCGCACCCCCTCGGACGATGCTCAAGCCTTGATGGACCTCTGCCACTCCACCCAACCGCCTCTCCATCAAGCCTTCGTCATCGGATCCATCACTCGCCCTTGTACCGTCCACCCCAACTGTTGTCATCCATGCCGAACACATGGCACGGCAAGTGTTGCTGGAATTTTGTCTATTTGGGTCTAGCCCAATAACAGTTTCAGAAATTCCTAATAAATCCTAGAGGCCCACGCAGCCCATTCATGCGAGGCAAGAGATGGAACTAAAGTTTAGTCCCACATTGCTAGTTTAGAGGGAGTTGGACCTCTTTATAAGGGAGGCTCTTTCCCCACTTGTATGAGCATGAGAACAAGAGGGACATCCACGCGCGCTCCTCCTCCGCCGCCCGCCACGCCTCGTCACGACGCGCCGCGCCGCGGGAATGAGCCGAGCCGATGTCTAAATTTTTGCCACGCACAACGGGTATACGAAAGGTCACACGGAAGCTGAAAAGTTTTTGCGATAGTGGAGTTTGAATGCGTACGGTGCATCCCTTCAGCTGCTGGCTGTATGCTTCGTCTTCGTCTCTTCGTTTCACCTTCCGTCGCTGCCCTCTCGCCTTCTTCTCTTGCGCCTATAAAAGGGAGGTCGCTCCTCTCAGAAAGGCGCACTAGAACTCATTCTTCCTCTCGCCACCGGTTCCTCAACACTGCGATGCTGCTACGATCTTCCTCATCCCGGCTTGCGGCGTGCACCGTAGGTCGGGACAGTAGGCCTCTGAAACCGCACCTTTTGAGTCCTGTACGGGAGAAGGGTGATAAGGTTTTTGGGGAGCGCTCTGCGCGACTACTGACTTCTTCGTCACGGACGCCCCGGACTCTGACGACTACTTCCCCGACGACGACTACTTCCCCGACGTCGACAACCTCCTCGACGACATGGAGGACACCGACCCCAAGTCCAGTGCCTCTGCTCCTGCTACTGTCACGTACGTGTTTCTCCCCTTTCTATTGGAGGTTCTGCTACAGTTCCTTGTTCTAGTATTTGCCCTAGATATGTTAGACTCTATTTCATATATGCAACTTGCTATACTGTCTTCTCAAGATATGTTTAGTTACGGTTCATATATGCAGATATTGTTTACCTTCTCTTTGTCAAATCGCATGGCTTGTTTTATCACTGCTACACTAGTCATGCTTTATCTTGTATTTCTGTTAATAAAAATCACTCGGTAAATTGCTCATATTTCCAACAATCCAAAAACCTTATTATAGGCAATTTACCCCAAGTGGTTTTGCTGTTTCCATGAGACCTAGGGTATCCACTATAAGAGGTGGCATGTGAGAGCAGTCTTATGGTTTCAAACCATGAGTTGCTATGACGCCACTCTTGGCAGACCTGAAGGAGAACTTGATGCTCAATAGGCACAAGCTTTTCAGATAATGGATACTCTGTTTAAGGCTGCTCTCTTGAGTGTTCTTGGTGAGAACATAGTTGATGCTTATGAGTCAATTGACAATGAAAAGATATGTGGGACGCACTTGAGGCCAAGTTTGGGGTCTCGGATGCCGGCACTAAGCTGTACATCATGGAGCAATTCTATGATTACAGGATGACTGAAGAGCGCTCCGTGGTTGAGCAGGCTCATGAGATACAGTCATTTGCTAGAGAACTTGAGCACTTCAATTGTATGCTACCGGACAAGTTTTTTGTCGGGGGTATCATCACTAAGCTTCCTCCTTCATGGAGGAACTTTGCTACCTTACTGAAGAATAAGAGACAGGAGTTTTCCGTTCCGGATCTCATTGGTACTCTTGATGTGGAAGAAAAGGCGAGAGCAAAGGACACACGTGCTCGAGGTATTGAGGGAGGATATAGTGCCAATCTGGTACAGAAGAAAAACTTCCAGTCCCACAAGTTCAAGAACAAGGGCAAGCTTGATGGTAAAGAAAAGTTTGATGGGAAGAACAAGGTTGTACAACACACGAACTTCAAGAAGAGTGACAAGAAGAAAGGTGCTTGTCATGTGTGTGGAGATCCTGATCATTGGGCTCCTAGTTGTCCTAATCGCTATGACAAGTGTCATCTTGGGAAAGGCGGCAAGACCACTAATGTTGTCATTGGAGACACTGACATGAAGGATGCTGGGTATGGTATATTTCCCACTATTCTTTCAGTATGTCATTCTCCTGATTGGTTGATTGACACGGGTGCTAATGTGCATGTATGCGGTGATATTTCCATGTTTTCGTCTTATCAGACCGCAGGGACTTCAACCGTGCTGATGGGCAACGGTTCAAGTGCTTCTGTTCGTGGTGTTGGCACGGTCGATCTGAAGTTTACTTCGGGGAAGATCGTCCGGCTGAAGAACGTGCATTATGTCCCCTCCGTCAATAAAAATCTTGTTAGCGGATCTCTTCTGTGTAGAGATGGCTACAAGCTTGTTTTTGCGTCGAATAACTTTGTAATCTCCAAGTATGGAACCTTTGTTGGTAAAGGCTATGAGTCAGGAGGCCTGTTTCATTTATCCTTATCAGATGTTTCCAATAAAGTTGTTAATCATATTTGCAACAATAGTGAATCAAATGTGTGGCATTCACGTCTTTGTCAGGTTAACTTTGGTTGCATGTCGCGATTAGCGAAGTTGAACTTGATCCCTAGTTTCAACACTGTCAAGGGATCTAAGTGTCAAGTGTGTGTGCAAGCTAAGCAACCTCGTAAGTCTCACGTGACTACGGAGACGAGAAATCTTGCACCACTAGAACTTATACATTCAGATCTATGTGAAATGAATGGTGTTTTGACAAAAGGTGGAAAAAAATATTTCATGACGTTAATTGACGACTCCACTAGATACTGCCGTGTGTATCTCCTGAAATCTAAGGATGAGGCTTTGAACTTTTTCAAGATCTATAAAGCTGAAGTGGAAAACCAACTTGATCAAAAAATCAAGAGGCTTAGGTCCGACCGTGGTGGAGAGTATTTTTCCAATGAGTTTGATGCTTTTTGTGCGGAACATGGTATAATCCATGAGAGGATGCCTCCCTACTCACCTCAGTCAAATGGGGTGGCCGAAAGAAAGAATCGTACTCTAACTGATTTGGTTAACGCCATGTTAGACACATCGGGTCTCTCCAAGGCATGGTGGGGGGAGGCGATATTGACAGCATGTCATCTCCTAAATCGAGTCCTTACAAAGAACAAAGAGATAACTCCATTCAAGGAATGGGAGAAGAAAAGGTTAAAACTCTCTTATCTGCGAACATGGGGTTGTTTGGCGAAAGTCAATGTTCCAATTCCAAAGAAGCGGAAGCTTGGACCAAAGACTGTGGATTGTGTTTTCCTGGGATATACTTTTCATAGCATTGGCTATAGATTCTTGATTGTAAAATCTGAGGTACCTGGCATGCATGTCGGTACGATCATGGAGTCGAATGATGCGACTTTGTTTGAAGATATATTTCCCATGAAGGATATGGCTACCTCATCTAATCAGGGGATGCCTAGTTCATCGAATCAGGAACCAGTTACAATTACCGAACCTGCCATTTTGATGGAACACTTTGAAAGCCCTGTGGAGGAGAACAATGAAGTTCCTACTAGGAGCAAGAGACAGAGGACAGCAAAGTCGTTTGGTGATGATTTTCTTGTGTATCTCATAGATGATACTCCCAGTTCTATTTCGAAGCCTATGCATCGGAAGATGCTGACTACTGGAAGGAAGCGGTTCGTAGCGAGATGGATTCCATCTTGGCGAATGAAACTTGGGAGATAACTGATCGTCCTTATGGGTGCAAACCTATAGGATGCAAATGGGTATTCAAGAAGAAGTTTAG